CATCTGCCCAAACTCTGTGCAGGATTGCTGCTGGATGGATTTCCCCTTGAGCTTGTAGATGGAGATGCCTCCAACATACCTCTCAGATGGGTGAGTGATGTTCTCTCTCAGCTCCATGACTTGGTGTCTCCCAAGAACAAGATACTGGTAGTCACAGTTCTTGGAGTTCAGAGCACAGGAAAGTCCACTCTTCTTAACACCATGTTTGGAGTGCAGTTTGCAGTCAGCAGTGGTCGATGCACTCGAGGTGCTTTTATGTTGCTCATCAGAATCAATGAAGATGTCAAAAAAGTGCTCAACTGTGACTTCATGGTGATCATTGACACTGAGGGCTTAAAGTCACCAGAGCTTGCACAACTGGATGACAGCCATGAGCATGACAATGAGCTTGCAACACTTGTCGTGGGGCTGAGTGATATCACCATCATTAATATTGCAATGGAGAATTCAACAGAAATGAAGGACATCCTGCAAATAGTTGTGCACGCTTTTCTCAGGATGAAAGAGGTGGGCAAAAAGCCTAAATGTCAGTTTGTTCATCAGAATGTATCAGATGTTTCAGCCAATGAGAAGAACTTAAGAGACAGGAAACTGCTCTTGCAACAGTTAAATGAGATGACGCAAGCAGCCGCCAAAATGGAAAAGAAAGAGGAGAACAAGAGCTTCACAGATGTGATGGAGTACAGTCCAGATACTGGGAACTGGTACATTCCTGGACTCTGGAATGGAAACCCACCAATGGCACCAGTCAATGCAGGGTACAGCGAAGCTGTATATGAGCTCAAGAAAAACATCATCCATCTACTTGGAAAATGTGATTCATCTGCTAATGATATCTTGGAGATTAAAGAGTGGATGTCAAGCCTGTGGACTGCAGTAAAGCATGAAAACTTCATCTTCAGCTTCAGAAACAGTCTGGTGGCTGATGCATACATGAGGCTGTGCACAGAATTCAACAAATGGGAATGGGAATTCAAAATACACATGTTCACATGGGTTACAAATGCTGAAACAAGAATTGCACATTTCAGTACAGGAGTTNAAAAGACATGTACAAGCGGGTTACAAATGCTGAAACAGGAATTTCAAATTTCGGCACAGTTGCTGCAAAGTGTGAAATAGCTGACATGAAAGATTTCATCACGTGTTTGAGAAGTGAAGCCTCCACAGTGCTGTCTAAGTGGGAGACAAAGCTTCTTGAAAATCTGGCACAGTACTTCAAGCAAACAGAGGGTCATATCTATTTAGTAGAAGGATACAAAGAGGACTTTGCAAACAGTGCAAAGAGCCTTCGACGAGAAATGGAGAACTCTGTGTTTCATCAGCTCACTGCAGCAGCAGAAATCAAACAGGGAATGAGAGAACTTGATATAATCAAGGAAAATCACACAAAAGAAATTGAAAAGGCAGTGTGCGCACTGATTGATCAATGTCGGAAGAAGAATGTCCAGATGAGAGATCAAGAGCTGGACAAGGAATTTGAGAAGATGTGGAATGAAACAGTGAAGAAACTGTCTTTTTCTGAAAAAAAGGCAACAGATGTCTTCACCAGTGTATCCCACTATCTGAGAATAAATCTGTCACACAAGGGGAGTCATGCATCTGAATTGTTGAGTAAAAAAAGCCTGAAAGATTGTGGCAAAATGCCTTTCAAATATACAGAAGAGGGATTCTGCAAACAATTTAAACACCGAATGAGCAAATGGCTAAACTGGCAAGATCACATCACGATGGTACAAAAAATGGCTGACAGTATCATCGCTTGTTGCATTCAGTTTGTGACTGAAATAGTCGAAAGGAAAAACAATTACTCTGACACTTACATTCAGGAGATGCTACACATGATTGATGAGAGGCTGCACAGCAATCAGGATTTAAAGACAGGCATTGAGTTTGAAGTTTCTCTAAAACAACACATCTGTGGAGTTGCAGCCAGAGTATTTCAGAAAATGCACGAAGATTTCCTACATGTGAATGATCCTTACAGATGTCTGAGTCAAAACAAAGGGAAGTTTTGTGCTGATTTTAAAGATGTGTTTCATAAACGAGACCAGTGCCATACGAAGGCAGAAGAATTCACCAGCCAATGCTTGAAGCCTGCAGTTGAGGACTTCATCAACCGTTCCCTGGGTCCTGATATCATTGATGAGATGCTGACACAACAACAGTTCAGCACAAGAATATCCTTCCAGTATTCAGTTTTACTGGATTTGCTTTCAAAGGATAACTTTGAAAAGTATTTGAGCTACATTTGCTCATATGAGGAATATGTGAAGAAGTGGATACTCGACCAGATAGTGACTCACTTCTCAAATGGTTCTAAGATTTCTGAGTTTGAGGATCGTCATATTCAGTCAAGTATCAGGAGCATAAATGATGCTATCAACAAGGCCAAAATGAAAAAGAGTGGCAACTTGAAGACATTTGTTGATCATGTGTGTCAGGAACTTGGAGATAAACTGGTCATTTCCCAGGATGCTCTTAATGCTTTCATGATACTGAACAACGCAAACCAGGAACAGTTTGCTGACTGGTTAACAGAGTGTGTAAATGAGATGGGAAAAGCTCTTAGAGAAGAGTTCAAAAAATCAAACATCCAGAAGAAACTGAAGCATCTTCATTTGAAGCCTCAGAATGAGATTTTCACTAGACTGATTGGATGTGGTAAACAGTGTCCGTTTTGCAAAGCTCCATGTGAGGCGGGAGGAAAAGCCCATACTGAGCACTGGGCTTCAATTCATCGCTCCAATGGTCTTGGGCAATTCAGGTTTCACCACTCAGAAAAACTTGTAACGGATGTATGCTCTTCTCTCGTGATCAGTGACAGGAAATTTCGATGCCTTGCAACAAATTTTGGATGGCACCCATACAAGCAGTACAGTAACATTTTCCCCACCTGGAGAATTCCTCCTGATGTAAGCCTCGAGGCATCAGACTACTGGAAATATGTGATGGCAACATTCAACAAAAAGTTTGCCGAAGAATATAATGCAAAGCCTGCTGATATTCCCTCAACCTGGAAAAGAATTACAGAAAAGCAGGCAAAAGCCAGCCTTCAACAGTCATTCAGCATCAAGTAAGAAGTATGGCTGCCATGTTGTCAAAAGATACTGCCAATACTGCTATGACACTGTGATTCTTTTAGATCAGCCAGCGAATTACAGATTGAGATTATGTTCGTACAGTATTTGCAACTTTAATAAAAAAAAGTTACTAATCATAGTGCAACTAACATTTTCTTTTTACTTATTTTGAGTGCGCAGAGGTATAAGTCCCCCTGCTATGAACATTTTGAGTTTAAGCTTTGACATACAGGTGAATCACCAAAAGTAACATAATGTATATAAAATGACAAGCCAAAACAGATTGCCAATACACTCAGAAATATTTTACCATTACAGTTTACAACAGGGATTGAATTGAAAACCAGTGCAAACTGGTCACATTTATCCAAGATTATATTTCACACTTGACCTGTTTGTGAGAAATAATGGATTTTCTTTATGTTTTGTTGATATGTTACACTTTACATTTTGAGACTTTGTATGACTGTATATGAGACTTTATATGTTAGAAGCACATGCGGAAATGTTAACCTCTGTATTTTGGTGTGAGCTTAGCTGTATTTTATACATACATGAAATCAATATGATAATAAAACAAATAATTATTTTTTCAATTTTTCAGAGTCTGGAATTAGTTCGTTTTTCTTTGGGTCTATAAATAATTTGAGGCCAAAAAGTTACAGTTACAAAATAATTTACGGGCCATTTAAACTGTCAACAAGTGATCGTGTCAACATGTCTACATTACTTTCATCTGATAACTGTCTGAATAAAGAAACAAAATCAGCCGTCT